GCCCCACTATCACAGTACTTCATCAACTCTTCCCACAACACATATTGTAGAGGTGGGAATAGGGACTTCAACAAAACTAAGAACATGAAGAAAAAGTGTGAACTTTAGGGCTTCAAGTCAAGGGCGCAAAACTTTTTCACAGCTCTCCTCATAAGGAAGCTATTGCTGATGCAGAGATGTATAGACAGGTAGTGTGCCTAATCAACTGCGAAATTCATTCTACCTGTCAAATCCATGTCGTTTTAAGGTGCTCCTTTCTGGATGTAGATGTGTTGAGATCGATGTTTGGGATGGATCAAATGGGCCAGTAGTTACACATGGTCCTTCGGCAGTTATGCGAATGAATGAAGTTCCTTTAAAGGTGCTTAGTTTGCAGGCCGAACATAGCTCAGCCGCCCAACCTTCGACATTTGGCTTATGACAATGAGCACTCTTTATCCAATAACTGGCATTCAGGATGTGTGCATTGCCATAAGGGAGAGCGCTTTTAAAACGTCGCCGTATCCCGTTTTACTGTCTATCGAAAACCATTTGTGTAAGCCGCAGCAAAAACAAATGGTGGCTATTTTCCGGGAAGTATTTCGTGAATTCTTGCTGCAACGACCTCTAGAAAAACATGCGGTAACGCTTGACTTATCATGATAGACTAACCTTTTTGATCAAGTGTTTCGAAGTTTTTTTTAAACAACGAAAATTCAGTTAAAAGAGCATGAATCACTTCCATCTCCACATGCTCTAAAAAAGAAAATTCTTGTGAAAGCAAGACGGCGATTGGATAACAACGAACACACAGAAGCAAGCCGAAAATCCAGCGTTGTGTCCATAGTTTCAGAGGTAAGCTCAAGATCAAACAACACCTCGGCAATCCAGGCTTCGCTTAGTTTGTTCAAGTTGCCAGAATATCGGCTATTGAGCTTAAAAAACTTTAAAAATTTTTCTAAATTAACTATTCTGTAAAAAAATTTCACCATTCGGTTAAAAAAAGCATAAACTGGTCGTCCTCTTCGATAAGTTTTTTTTGCAACCACCACTGCCAAGTACTTCACTTGAACGTTTACTTAGAGATAAAAAGCGAAGTTTGGATGTTGATAATAAATACAGCGTGCAGATTCCCACTTGCTACTACTATTTCTATGGGATTAAGCGTTTCAGAGGAGCGATCTGCAGATGCTGGAGGACGAAGTGCGAATGCTGCAGTTGTGCCCCGATGAAGAAGAAGCTTCTTCTCAAGAGCTATCAGATTTGGTTAACTACCTTACAGCAGATAAAGTGCCACACACTTGGAATCGTTTGTTTTTCTAACCTGTAATTGAAAACTTAAAATCGATCATGTATATTTTGCAGAAGACCCACGTTTTTATCTCATGTGCTCCTTCAGCGAAGATACTTCTGCTAAGATTTATAAAGATGCAGTGCAGCAACAAGCAAATGAACTTGTAAAGCACACATCAAAACGAATCGTTCGAGTGTATCCGTCAAACATGCGGATTAAATCGGACAACTTTCTTCCCAACGTAAGCGCTCTATAGCATTGATATTCTCTTCGTTATAGTAAATTCCATATAAGATGCCAAAAACAGAATTTTTTATCTACAATAAAACAACGGTTAGATTAGGCTTGCAAAATAGTTATAATCCTGTAAAGTGCATCTCTAGATTCACTGGATGATGGGCATCCAAATGGTTGCACTCAATTTCCAAACGAATTGTCTAGAAATGTTGATGAACCACGCAATGTTCGAACAAACTGCTTGGTGTGGGTAAGGTGGAGTGTTTTCATGTTGGGAAGAGGAAGATTAAATTGAAAAGGACTGCTAGTCAGTAAATCTTGCGCATAATAGTACTTTGCTGCTTTATGGCTATGCACCATCTGTTCTCCTTTCCTAAGGAATATAGATATTGCTTACAAATAAATGTGTACTCAGCTGTAAGCAATGATATCTGCAAATTAGTATATCGGCTGTTCCAGATACGTGAAGAAACCGGAGTGCCTCAACGACTCTTCGTTGGATTTTGACTTGTACGGAAGGCTAAGAATAATTCCTCATCGAATGCCGGTCACACTGAAAGTCACCGTAGGTCACTTTTTCGAAGTATCCTCCTATTATAATCTCTCCGAATAACCTTTTTATATTGCTACGTGTAACTCTTCCGTAAATTCGACATTGTTAAATTTTTACAAATCTGTGTAGGTTATAAAGGTTAGTTTTATGGCTATGAAATGAGATTTCGAGCATTGTGTGGTATTGATATGCCTGACATTTGGTCAAGTTTGGTCAAGGCACAGACTCACAAGAAAACACGCAAAGGAAGTGTCCGCCGTTAAAGTAAAAGAGTTTATTTATCTGCATCCCAATTCTTATCTTCTCTATCACACACTGTAAAAATCTCCTGTATCTCTAAGTACTATATTCCAGCTTAAAGGAATTACAATAGGGGCGAGAAGTGTTTGTAGAAGGCAGTTCATTTTATACCTTATTTCCTCAAACTTTCACTTCCTTTTTATTGATGGACACTGTGTTACCAACCTAACTGCTAATGAGCACTGCACAGAAATAGCCTATCAGATTAGATTTTTTGAGCTATAAGTTTACAAAAGCAGCTGCAGATAACTTCGTTCTATGGATTGCAACACAGCACTAATGTTACGAATCTCGGATATATTACTGGTATAGTGTTACCAGAGACTTTTGCCCCATCCAGTGTCAATCGTCCTTCAATCCAACTACCTTCAGTGTATAAATATGCGGCCTTAGGTAGTTCTGTGCTATCCACACAATACTGAAGGAGTGACCTTGTCTGATGCTGATTTATGCGCTTTTGACGTGTGAACACCTTGCAGTTTCAAATAATTGGGAAAACCAAAAATGGTCTTGTTACTATATTCGTACTCGTATATTGTTACTCGTATATCCCTTTGGATGT